CGCACGTTGGAAGAGGGGGAAAGCCCCGGGCTCCCCCGAGGGCTGGGGAATGGACAGACTACTAAAACCCGGGAGGGGGGGAGCAGGCGTCCTCAGTTCTGCAGCACCACAGATGGGAGTGTGGGGAGAGGCCACAGGGCACGTCTGTGGCATCGCTGACAGGAAGGGCGTGGGGCCCGCCGCTTCTGGGCAACAAGGTTGCGCAACAGCAAGGAGAAAGGGCTGGGGTCTGCTGGACGAGATCCCGACCTTTCCGGGCCCTCTGGGGATGCCAGACGCGCTGCATCGCAGGCTTTCCGCATCCCTGACGGAAGCAAAGGAGAAGGAAAACGCAAGAGGTCTTAAGGAAAGGGAAAACGATCCTGCAAACGGGAGAGCTGCAGCTCCCTCCTCTTGGGCCATTTTTAACCGTTGCTGATTTGGTACGAATCTCACGGCACCGGCGTCAGGGGTCGTCTTGCTTCAGCGTGGAGGTGGCTGGCCGTGTTACCCTGAACCTGTCGCTTGGAAGCAAGTCACGCCTCTCCGAATATGCGCGCCTTTGGTGTCAAGACCGGCTGGCTGACGGCAGCGGGTCTGCGCAGGGCAGGGGCAGGGAGAGGGTCCCGGCCAAGCTGGGCTCTCTCGACGGCCAATGCTGGGGGCCCTCTCCGTGGACCCTGAGCCGGCAAATACAACGGGGGCCTCTGCTTCACCTACGCGTCGGGGGCAGGAGAGGCGAAGTGGGCCTCGGTCTGCTTTTCCAGGGGTAGACAAGCATTTCGCCAGAGACTTACAGACACACCTTGTCAGTCATTTCTTCCATAAAAGTTTCTCTCTCCTCCTCAAATGGGGGCTCCTCATAATCGGAATCATCTGCGGGCAAGAAAGCAAAATCTCCATGAATGTTGGCAACAGACCTCCATCAACTCGGACTTCCAGGGCCTTCTCCGACTAGCAAAGCCCACCCACCCGCCCCCGGCTCTCCTTCCAGAGCTCCTGCCAAGGGGAGACCTTGAACCACGGCACTCACGCCCCTCGTCTGCCTGAGCAAGAGCTGATGGTTCAAGGGGATCTGAGGAAGTCAAGAAGTCGCTGGCCAGAGATGCCTTTTTCATTGCAAGAACGGTCATCCGATGACCAGACCCTTTAATCTGGTGGGTTTCAATGGATCGTGTTGATGGAAAACGGTGGTGCTTATACTGGTCACCTCTGAGCTTGACGACCCACCAGGCTGCTTTTCGGCTTGGTTTTCTGGGTTTGCTTGGTACAAACTCAGCGGCCGGGCTGGTCTCCGGAAAAACTCAGCAACCCCATCACACCTACACTTACTGCTCTTCGCTGGCTGCCACCGGTTTCCGGGGAACGTGCTGAGTGTGGGTTATCGCCTTCGAAGCCCTCATGGCTTGATCCCTAGCTTCTTGAGAGAACGCCTCTTTCATGCGATTCCAACCCCCCTCCCCAACTCTGCTCACTGAGAGCATCTGCAGCGGCGCCGCTTGCCATGAGTGGGGGTCCGGCGGGGGCTGGACTCCTCTCCAATCACCCCCTCTTGGGAAGGCACGCCATGCTGGGATGAGGGGTTGGACTCCTTGTTCAGTTTTAAGAAGAACACATTTAGTTGCTGAACAGCTTAACTTATTTTTACTATTTCTTGGGTTTGGCTAGGTTTCAAGAAAAAAACATCTAATTCAATCCAGATCTGCATACGGGGGTTGTCAATTGTTCTTCAGCTCAGTTTAAGGTCTCTGACCTTCCTTTTAGAGCTGCGGAGGGTCTCAACGCCTCCTGCTTTTAAAAACGGAATCCAGGCTCTTCTCTCAGCCAGGCTGGAATAAAACCTTGAAATGTTTCTGTCTGATAATCCAGGCCGCGTGTCCCTCTTCTCTATGACAGATTAGCCCAAAGCACACCCAACGGGGCCTCCTCATCCATGGCACTCTCTCTTCGGCCCCATCTTCCCACTCATGGTTACCAACCTTTTAAAAGGCTTCCCTTAGCGTTAGCTGCTGCAGGGACAGATCTGAATTTTCCACGTTATATATTTTATACATGTATTAACTGAATGGCCGTAGACCAGAAGGCCACGTGAGGCGTCAAAGCCTCTTGAGTTGACCTTCATGCCTTACGTGATTCCTGAGCAACAGCCACCACAATGTCCAGCAGCGCTGTGCTCCAGAGGTTGCACCTTGTTCAAAAGGAACCCTCCCCTCCCTCAGAATTGTAGAGTATCTGCTTTCTCAAAACTTTCCTGTGCAAATGTTCGTGTTCTTCAAGTATTATCTGCATATCTAAATATCTGCTGAATTTTCAGCAGAATGGTTTGTTTGTTCCATTTATATCCCCCTGCAATCTGACTCTCAGTGGTATACAAATGGAATATAGGTAGCTCCCATTTAGCAGGCACAACTGGGACCGGCAACTTGGTTGTTAAGCAAAGCAGTCACTAAGTGAAACCGCGGCTGTGCTTATGATCTGACTTCAGCTTTCCTTTGTTTTACAGACCTGTGAAGGTCATAAATGCTAGGATTGGTTGCAAAGTTCCTTTTTCATCACCGTTGTAACTGTGAATGGTCGCTAAACGAGGCAGTCACTAAACAAGGATTCCCTGTACACACATATTTCTATAATAAATACATATTTTATATGTAGACTTTCCAGTTTGGAATGCTCCTCTCCCTCCACCCTTGTATAAAAAGGAATTTATGCAGAATAGGAGATTTTATATTTGGAGATTTTATATTTGGTGGCAAATCGATAGCAAAAAAAAAAAATTCCAGAAAGTTTCATATTCCAAATCTGTAGAACTGGGATTGGACAAATTTTTTTTTTAAAAAAATTGGGAATATTCATTTCAGCTCTACTTGGGCCTTAAAATCTTTAGTGTTACACCAGATGGAGACTTACCAAACTCTGGATGCAACAGGAGGGGTGGCTTTGGAGGGATCTCGGGGCCTGTATTCTGTTCTGGTAACTTGGCTCGTGGAAGAAGGGTGGGGGGTATGATGTGCAGGTCCTCAGATTCTGGAGGTTTCTCTTTTGCAGGAGAACTGGAAAGAGAAAGCAGAGTTGTCATCCAGGAGAATAGGGTAGCAAGAGGAGGAGGAGGAGGAGGAGGAGAAGGAGAAGGAGAAGGAGAAGGAGAAGGAGAAGGAGAAGGAGAAGGAGAAGGAGAAGGAGAAGGAGAAGGAGAAGAAGGAGAAAATACTCATCACTTTCTAGAACCTATACGCCACCTAACTCAACCTGGTTAGGGAGTACAGTGCTATGGGACAAGCTCTGAATGACAATGGATTTAAACAGTTGTGGGCACTGCCCAAAGAAGCCATGGATCTGAACTGCTGTGGACTTGCAGTCTTGCACTCTCAGAGAAACCGGTCCTGGCAGTGAGGCTCATTAATGACTGTTAGCCAAGGGAGGTACATTGAACCACCACAGTCAGAAGCAGGGCAGTGCTAAACATAAGTTGCTTTGGGGGAAACGACAGGGGCACCCATGCCTTTCTTGTTGGTTTAAAAACTTCCCAGAGAGTTTAATTCAGCAGCCAAATTCAACATGGGATGGGTTGGGTGTGGGGTGGGACATAAACCACTTTAAACTTCTACTGGAGGATCCTTCTCCACTGTCAAGCTGAAGGGCCCTTTGCCCCTCTTTGAGTTGGCATAAAACTTCACTGGCATGAAGTCTGGCTGTCCCCGTTGCCAGTCCTTCACCTGCCTCCGTTCTCCATCACACCAGTCTCCAACTTCCCAAAGCTAGCAGATTTTACACCCCACATAGCTGCCTTTAGAGGGTGTCAGAAGAAGGGGAGAAGCATTATCCTAGCCCCGAAATAGTTCAGGGATGTCTTAAGCTTGTCTCATTCGTGGCCTGGGGCAAGATGAAGGCCACCTCACAGGGAGAAGCAGAAAAAAGAGGTTCCCAGGGCATGTTTCTGTTCTGGTTAGGTAGAAGTGGGGAAAGACCCATAAACACCTTTTAAGGCTTGACAGGATGAGCTTTCAAGGAGCAAACAAGCAGGAACATCCAGAATGAATGGGGGAAAGTTCATGGAGAGGTAAAGCCAGAGGAAGCCAAACTTCTGAAAGAGAAGTTGGCACGCAGATCAAGTACACACACACACATTATCCTGATGCTTTCAAGCGCTGAGAACCTCCCTGCCAGCATGCATTCCTTCCTCCTTGTCTCTCAGCTTATGCACAGCCAGAAAAATCAGCAAAATTTGGCTGTTCTTTTCCCAGCCGTGTCTTCACTTTCACTTCCTCCGCTCTTCAGTGACTTAGGCAACCCGCTCATTTCCAGATTTGCCTACACTCAGGAAGTCCTCATGGGGCAACAGAAAACAAAGCGGGGTTTCCCCATGCAGTATGAAATTGCTTGTTAGAAAATATAGGCATCGAATGCTCCTCCTAAAATGAGAGTACGGAGAAAGCGGGGAAGGGGGCTAACTTTATCCCGGACTGAACGCTCCTCTTGACCCCCATTCCACACCCATCCCCCTCTGCAGCCCAAGTCCCATTTTTGCTTGAGAGATGGCAGAAGCAGGGCTCGAGTCGAATCTTCTTGCCAATTAATCTTTAGAGGAGATTTTGCTATTGCTAAAACTTGTGACTGGGCATTGTTAAAATGTAATGAATGAGTAAGCGTGAGTGAATTAGTTTTTATAAGTCCAGGTTTTACACAGGATGTGATGACAGAGTTCTGGAAAACATGTGAGATTCATTTTGGACACCACAAAATAAATGCCGTCAGCCAAATTTCAGAGTCCTTTTTCCTGTTCAGCTGTTTTCTACTGCCATTTTTTTGTCTGATTGGACCTTTCACCCCAAAGCCAGCTCAAGCAGGAATTTCTATGCAAAACTGGTTTATTGCTGTAGCTTTTCACAAGTTTTCCAGGACGGTCTGTTATTTTGGCCATTTGCAACCGAAACCCTTTGCCACCACAAAGCTTGTTTCTTATGCGTGCTCTGAACCCCAATTTTTCGTTTCATCCTCTTAAATGCATCATTGCCTCCAACGTGGACGGAAACAAGACCACGATTTTCAAAGAGCAAAGGACAATCCAACTTGGAAAGTGATTCTCCCCCACACAATACGTCCTTCCAAATCGCTGAGACCCTCCCCAGTCTGCTCCCTGAGGTGCTTGGGGTGCGAACCCCCAGCCACTGAAAAAGGGTATAATTGGAAACAAAATTGCAACCGCTCAAGGCTGCTCCAGGCACCGAATCTTTAGAAACCCAGTGACTGCAGACATAGGAACCTCCGTATGTGCATCTGGGCTCCATGAACCCCTCGCTCAGCAGGGAAAAAGGGGTGGGGGACCAGAAACCAGCAGTCGTGCCTGGCTCAGTCCCAAATCGCAAGGCAGTGGGGGCTTTACTTTCACATCGTGTTCCTGCTGTGCCCTTCCTGACGATTGTTCTGGTCCCCGGGAGGGTCGTGGGAGCAGCGGGCAGGCGAACCCACGTGGCCAGAGCCCGAATTCTCTCTGGGTCAGGATGACCTCAGAGCACATTCTTCGCCACGCCTCTATGGAAACCAGCTCTTTCCATCATTTATTTGTTTTATTTATTTATCTATCAAATTTGTCACCACCCATCTCATTAAAAAGCGACTCCGAGCTGTTTACAGAAGAGATAAAACCCATTAAAATACAATGTAAAGCCATCTTAAATAATTAATAAATAGATGCCAAGGGATGATAAAATTGGCGAACCGCTCGGGAAGTGTCATCAGGGCACCAGCCACCCCCAGGATGGATTACAACTCTTGTTGCCCCACGCACGCTGGCAGAGCCAGGTCTTAAGTCCTTTCCGGAAAACCGGGAGGGCAGGGGTCCACCGCACCTCTGGAGGGAGAATATCCCAAAGGGCAGGGGCAACGGCAGAGAAGGCCCTCCTCCCGGGCACGTGGTGGGATACCCCAGAACTGACCCAGGCACGAAGCCCCGGCTTGCTCCCTGGCACACCGGTAGGAGACCTGGTCAGCCCAGGTCCACCTTCAGGGCCCCCCCAGCACTGCTGCTGGAAAGAGGCCTGCGACATCCCCCGTTGTGCATACCAGAGCAAGGCGAACACCTGGTTCTGTGTGGTGCATCACACACACACACACACACACACACTCACACACACACACTTCCTTTGGTCTGTTCTGAAACTGCGGAAGACAAATGGGCCACAGTGAAAACTGAATGAAAAAAAGGAGCAGAACGCAAAAATAGTGAGATGGGCAGCATATTTAAAATAGAGAGAGAGAGAGAGAGAGAGAGAGAGAGAGAGAAGGAAAAGGAAAAGGAAAAGGAAAAGGAAAAGGAAAAGGAAAAGGAAAAGGAAAAGATTTAAAATAGAGAGAGAGAGAGAGAGAGAGAGAGAGAGAGAGAGAGAGAGAGAGAGAGAGAGAGAGAGAGAGAGAGAGAGAGAGAGAGAGAGAGAGAGAGAGAGAGAGAGAGAGAGAGAGAGAGAGAGAGAAGGAAAAGGAAAAGGAAAAGGAAAAGGAAAAGATTTAAAATAGAGAGAGAGAGAGAGAGAGAGAGAGAGATAAAGGAAAGGAAAAGGAAAAGGAAAAGGAAAAGGAAAAGGAAAAGGAAAAGGAAAAGGAAAGGAAGTGAGCCAAGAACAGCCAAGGTGCGCAGAAAATTCATCACACGTACACCGCCGCCCCCCCCCCACGGGAACCTCTCTCCCCACGCAGGCTTCGTTCCATTCCTGAATGCGCCTCTGCTGTAAAACTATGCCTGCACCCTCTTCCATCTTGCATGAGAGCAGTGTGATTAAAATTTAAAAGAAGGGGGGGGAAAGGAATCCCTGAACCTTTATACGATCAACAAAACAATCCCAAACCAAATTCCTTGGAAGTTCCCTTCCTTGCCCCTCCGCTGACAAAAAGGTAAACTGGAATGGTGACAAGCAACGGCCGTCAGAAGTCCTTACTGCAAATCAGCATGTGATTGTCCAGCGTTCTTCAGGATTCCCTTGGCCTCCACCACAGCAGCCAAAAAGGTTTCTCCCAGCCTCGATTCTCCTTCCAGCTGCTAAGAAGCAGGTGGGACACCCTGAAAGTGAAGCCCCCAGAGGACAGACTCTGACCAGCAATTCAGGGGGTGATTCACGTCACTGGTTACTGCTAAATGTTTCATTTACAACTGGGGAGCCAGGAGCCAAACGGCTCTCTGGGACCCTGGAAATGCCTTTCGCTTCCACCTGCAATTCTGGGTTTCTTGCTCCAGTGACCAGTTTAGCAACAGAAGCAACCAGTAACACCTCACATGGAGGGTCCCCGGTGGCCCTCGTTCCTATAGGTAAAAACAGTGCCCTGACGTTGGGGATTAGCAATGCAACCGTTGCCCGTGTTGACTCAGCTCTCGTTCTGAGAGCTCACCCAGGAGATGTATTCCGTTTGGATGCATCGTGTGAGCGCTCTTTTCTCAGGCACACTTGAAAACGGGTCTGTGAAACTGGCAATACCTGCAATGGTGCATCTCAGCGCAATGAATCTCTCCCACGCGCACACACATTTTGCATGTCAAAAAACCCACCCCCTTTCTTAACTCTTACCCCCTGAACCCCCCCCCCCCTTTACTTGAGTCTCACTGATGACATTTTCATCATCCAGACCATGGAAAAGAATCCTTCTTCAAATTCCACCACAGCTCAACAGCTTCCATCCCACCATCAACCTATGCTTGGAGGTATCTACAGAACAAGTTCGCTTCCTTGATGTCATAGTACAATTTCATAATGGACACACATTATATCAGAAACCTACCAATCGCCATGCACACCTCCAGCTTCCATCCAGAGCACACCATCCAATCTATCTTCTACGGACAAGCTCTGTGCTACAACCTCATTTGTTCTGACCCACTTGACAGAGAGGCTCAACTGATGGAATTAAAGCAGGAAATCAGGAGACTGAACCACCCACCTTGTGAGATCAACAAACAGATCAATAGAGCCAGATCAATTCCCAGGGAGGTCCTGTTAAGACAGATGACAGAAATAGAACAACAGGACACCACTAGTTGTCACCTGCAGCTCACAGCTCAAACCATTAAAACACATTATTAAAAAGCTACAACCCATACTAGACAATGATGCTGTTGTTTTCTCAAGCACTGGATGGCAGGCCCATACTTTCATACAGACCACCATAATCCTGAAGCAATTTCTCACAAGCAATAAGAAACAACAAGACAGCGATGCCAACCTGGCAACCAGCCAACTCAGATGTCCACTTTGCCCCACATCTATTCCAACAACACCATCACAGGCCCCAACAACTTCATACATAAGATGAGATGTTCTTCCTCTACGGTGAGATCATCTGCCAGCAACACCCCTCTGGATTCTACGCAGGACAAACGGGACAGCTTGGTGCAAAAAGAGGAATGGGCGTACGTTTGACATCAGGGTTCAAAAGAAGGACAAAGTAAGAGCAGAGCATTATTGCAGATCTCAAAGTCGTCATTGTGGGGTAAAGAAACTTTAGCAGCAATACAATACGTCAAAAGATCTCAGGCCATCTCAGAAGGCCTGAACGAACACAATGGTTTTTTAACACATTGCAGTTATTAACTGATAATGTACTTGCAATCTGTCTCACATCTGCATCGGCATAACCCATCTGTCTTCCCTTTCCTTCCCCCCCTTTATACTACTTTAATTAAGTTTTTTACCCCTTCTCTAAAACAGATGTGCTGTTGCTCAGACTTACCAAAGAGAGCCCACCCATCTCAAAAGAACCCTATTATCCAAGACTGTTCTTTTCCCCCTTAAATTTCCTCCACCTCAGAAACAATCCTTGATCAGAGAATTTGGGGGGTGGGAACCTCTTCCTGCTCGGAAAATGCAAAGTCTGTTTATGAGTCCTGCTCCACAAACGCCTGTCCAAAGACACCCAGCTTGCAACCCCCTCGGCTGCCTCAGTGCAGAGAGGGTCAAAACTGGGGGCGTCTAAGCTAAATCCGCCCTTGTTCCTCAAGGCGGGATGAAAAGACTCAGCCTCTCCACCCTAATTAGGGTGTCTGGGGGAGCTCTAAATATAGGTCTCGCCGGGGGCAAGGGAGAAGCCACAAGCTGGTGGGAAGGAGCAGCTGGGACAAGTCCTGTTTCTGCTGGGCAGGACAAGAGAGTCCTTGTTTCTCAGCAGCCCGGCACCAAAAAAGGGCTGTCTCCTTTGCATGTTGGGCTTCCAGCAGACTTTTCCAACATGGAGTCCTCCAGAGATATCACTTCCACAATTCACACCTTGCAGGTTTACTGAGAATTCTGGGAACTGCAGCTCTACTACGTTTTGGGGAGGCTGTCTCATAGCTCCATGATAAAACCCATCGAAGGATGTGCATGAGAAAGTTTTGCATGTAAAAGATCCCAATTTCTTGTCCCAGGAGGAAAGTTTGGGGCTGACAAATGCTAAATCCAGCGGCTAGTTGGACTTCTGAGTGGTCAGCCTCTTAGCAACACACATAAGCTTCTGGCCCGTGTGGTTGAGGCAACATAGAAACCGGGATTGGTCAAAAAGCAAGCCAACATTCAGAACATTTTGCTTTAATCAGAGAAGAGAAGCAAAACTAGATGGAAGGACTGTAATCTACTTTCCAGTCCAGGAAATGATAATATCTCTCTGACCAGCACTCTTCCCCCACAAGACTGATCTGGAAGCCAGCTGGCACTTGGGACAGCATTCTGCAAGATGCCGTCTTCCCCCTCTATTGAAACCATGCAAAAGTAGGAGCAGAGTGCAATCGCAGGATCTTAAGAAGGGGAAGGGATCTTAGAGGGCATCTAGACCAGTGTTTCTCAGCCTCGGCAACTTTAAGATGTGTGGACTTCAACTCCAGAATTCCCCAGCCAGCATGCGATCAATGTCTTCATCTTCAACCTGTCCCAAGTCTTCTGCTTGGTTTGCTACTACAGAGAAAAGCATTTTGGGGAGGTTTGTCTCATGCGTATGTCCAACCCTACACCGAGCTTTAGAGCTCAGAGACCATCTGCAGGTGGTCCTTGACTTACGACCATTCGTTTAACGACTGTTTAAAGTTACAATAGCGCTGAAAAAAGTGACTTATGACTGGTCCTCGCACTTCCAACTGTTGCAGTGCCCCTGCAGGAACATGATCGAAATTCGGGCACTTGGCAACTGGCATATATTTATGACAGTTGCAGCATCCTAGGGTCACATGATCACCATTTGCGACCTTCCCAGCTGGCTTCCGACAAGCAAAGTGAACAGGGGAAGCCAGATTTGCTTAATGACCACATGATTCGCTTAACGACCACTGCAAAAAGGATCGTAAAATCGGGCACAACTCACTTAATGAACACATCACTTAGCAACAGAAGTTCCGGTCCCAACTGTGGTCGTAAGTCAAGGACTACCTGTAGTGAAATGTGTCCATCTGGTCACCAAGAACCAGGAGAGACTGAGCAACAACAACTGACCCATGCCGAGAAAACACAATGGCTGTGTTTATACAACATTTAGCCAACAAGCCTTGTCACGTCTAATGGCCTGGTTCACACCACACGTTACAACAAACAGCTGACTTCCCACACCGTTATAACACACAGCTCATACTAGAGTTGTCAGTTCCTATCTAGATCAAAATATCTAGGGAACTCTCTCCTCCCCATGTGTTGGAAAGAGAACTCCCAGAATCCCCTGGACAGCATCACTAGGAATTCTGGGAGTTGCAGTCCCAGTGCCTCTAGGAGGAAGGGGAGGAGCACAGCCGAAAACCTCTCCCGGACAGGCCACCGAACTCTCTCTTCCTGCTCCTAGCCAGGTCTCTTCCAAAAGGCTGGGGGGGGGGCTGCTCTGTTAAAGCCGCTCTTCTTACCACGCGCTGTTTAGAATTACCCCGCTTCTCCCCCGAAAAAAATCCCTCATCCTACAGGCGCCATCGGGCAGGTC